ACCGGACCTTATACTGCTTTTGTGGACGACCTCTACCTCCTGTTCTGAACACATCTTCACCTACAATGTCGTCAATGTCGTATCTCCCGTCCATGTTTGGAGGGATCATGGACTGTCTAGATGGAAACTGTTGACTTGTGACACGGCAACAACTTTGATGCGTGAAACACAGGGTAGGGGTGGAGGTGTGCTGGGATCTCTATGCTGTAGGACGGCCCATCCTCTCTGCCCTTAACTTTTAGAACTGGCCACGGTCCTCTATACGCAGACAGTAACTTCTGCGAGATGTTTTCCTCAGGAGCAAACTCTTTAGACTTGACCCAGATCAAGTCGCCTACTTGGAACTGTGACGGGCGACGGTGCTTATTAGCCTATTCTATCATCCGGTGTGGGGCCTTCCTGAGGTTCTCAACAACAGTGGCTATCTCTTTCTCCTGCTGTATCGCGAACTCCCTGGTATTGGGCGGTAGCCTGTGAATCTGATCCCGGTTAAGTCACTCAAACGGTCTACGTGGTCTAAAGGACTTGTGCAACTCGTTGGGAGTGCGACAGGTGGACAAATGCACGCTATTATTGTATGCACTGGCTACCTTGGGTAACATCTCGTCCCAGTTAATCTGATCCGGTCTGATGTACATGCGCAGAACTTGCTGCAGGATCTTGTTCATCTGCTTTGTCTGACCGTTAGTCTCTGGATGGCGGCCAGACGACATCAACAACTTAGATCCATAGACTCTCATGAGTTCCTGCCAGTTCTGGCTAGTGAAGTGGGTGTCTCTATCACTAACAATAGACAATGGGACGCCATGCTCGCTAACCCAAAAGTCGAAAAACTTCTGAATAACTAACTCTGTACGTGCCTCTGCAGGCAAAGGAACAAAAATAGCATACTTGCTAAACCTATCAACTACAACCATGACTTGGCTCTTGTCGTGCCTACTCTTGACACCGGCATCCATGAAGTCGATGGAGACTGAGTCTCCAGGCTGGTCTGGAATAGGCAAGGGTCTGAGAAGACCTAGAGGGGCACGCGTAGTAGTCTTGTTCCTTTGACAGACTTTACAGCTGCGGACATACTCTATACAGTCGTTTTTCATTCTTGGCCATGTATACGCGTGCATGAGGTTGGCCAAAGTCTTTTGCCAACCGAAGCGTCCCTTTGTATCATGGCATTCCCCTAGGATCAGACTGCGGATCTCCTCACTATTGGGAACGCATAGGCGGTCTACTACATTAGTCTTCTCAAATAACAACCCTTTTGTGGTGAGGTAATCTGGCTCGGTCTCTAGGGCCTCCTTGACTTTCTTGAGGAGGTCACTGTAAACAGGGTCCTGCGCATAAGCCTGTCTAACTTTCTCCTACAGGTCACTCCCTATGTCCAGATAGTGAACTATGGCTCCAAAGTAGTTTGACCTCCTACTCAGAGCATCCGCAACTACATTGTACTTGCCCTTAACTAGCTTGAGCTCAAAGTCGTACTGGTCTAACTCAACGGCCCACCTAGTCAACTTAGGTGTCATCTTGGCCTGTCTTCAACCATCTAAGAGTCTCGTGGTCGGAGTACACTTTGAAGTGCCTCCCAAGCAAATAATGCTTCCACTGCTCTAGAGCCTGCCTGAGAGCGTAGAGTTCTCTCTCGTACGTCGAGGTATCAACCTTCTTTGAGGGCATCCTCGCTGACATGAACTCTACGGGTCTATAGCCATTGCCGTCGTCTTGCTGTAACACGGTGCCTATACCATACTGACTCGCGTCCGTGGTGATGACAAATGGCAGGGACGGATCTGCTACTTTGAGGACATGATACTCTATTAACGACGCTTCAACTTCTTTAGCGCAGGCGTACAAATCTTATCCCATTGCCAGATTGCCTCTTTCTTGAGCAACCTGCGAAGGGGAGCGGCGATAGTGGAGAAGTTCCTGACGAACTTCCTATAGTAGTTAGCTAAGCCTAGGAACGACCGCAACTCAGTCATCGTGCGGGACGTCGACCAATCTCTAATCGTCGCTAGCTTACTGTCCTCATGCTTCATGCCGTCTCCATCTAACACGTGGCCCAAGTACAAAACTTGTGTTTGGCCCATTCGCACTTCTTCGCGTTGATCTTGAAGTTAGCCTCTCTGAGCTTCTCCAAGACCTGCCTCAAGTGACCCTAATGCTCTTGGAGGGTCCTACTGAAAACTAAGATGTCGTCTAGATATACTACGACAAATCTATCTAACCAAGGCCTAAACAAATCGTTCATACAACGCTGAAACGTAGCTGGTGCGTTGGTCAGTCCAAAGGGCATCACTATGAACTCGTAATGCCCGTATCTAGTCATGAATGCAGTCTTGTACTGGTCATCAGGATGAACCTCTATCTGATGATCCCGAACTTTAAGTCTATCTTTGAGAAATACTTGCAACCCTGCACCCGGTCTAAGAGATCATCTATCCTGGGCAGTGGTTCAACATTCTTAACGGTAATCGCATTCAGACCCCTATAGTCTATACCCATGTGCAACTCTCCTTCCTTCTTGGGGACAAATAAAACTGGTGCTCCAAAAGGAGACGAACTGGGCCGAATCCAACCCTTCTCAAGGAGCTCATCCAAATGCTTGCACAACTCCTCTAACTCTCTAGGGGACATCTTGTAGACTGCGCCCTTAGGAGTTTTACTGCCAGGCTCTATGTCTATCCTGTGCTGGATCGGCTGCGGCACTACTCCTACCGACGGCTCAGTGAGGTCCTTAAACTCCTCCAGCAGCTTGGCAATGGCTGGATCCGTGGAACTATCCTTTTGATTAGGCTCAGTGACAAGTCTAACATACACTACGAAGACCTGCTCCTCTAACTGCTCCTTCCTCACTAGTCGCGCAAACGTGGAGCACTGAAACAACAATGTGCCAAGGAGTTATCTACTCCAGACACATAGAACAGGCGGGCTATCTTAAGCTCGCCAAACAGACTAGGGAGCCTACACTCATGCTCTCTCAAGCGGAGTGTGGCCCCTGCTGCCTCTCCCCAGTCCATGCCTAGGACTATGTCAAACGGAAGGTCATCCTGTACGAGGAGAGTCAGGGAATGAAGAACTTTCTCCACCTTCCCATCTTTCTCTAGGCGGAAATACGCCTGGACTCCCTCTACGTAATCCTCAACTCGCATCGTGCGGTTGTTTTCGAGGACACTAACTATGGGGTCTTCCAACTTCTGGACTTTCAATCCTAGCCTCAGCTTCTTCAGCGCTCTACGGCTAATATAGCTACGGGTAGCCCCTGAATCTATAAGGGTCCCTACTCTACTTCTAAAAACCTCTACATCAACTAATACTAGCTGCCCTTTACTATCTTTCTTCATCTTGGCCCAGATGGGCATCCTCTCCTTCAATTCCTCTGCCACGCCTGTGAGGGACGTGAATAGAGAGACGCTGACACAAGCAGTCTCTGGACAGCTAACTAGGCACGGGCCTGCAACCTCTGCCGAAGGCTCATGTGGTGTGGGAGTTTCCTATACGTGAGCACTGGCTTCCCCACATGGCCTAATAGTAGGGGCGGTTGCAACCCCTACCGGCGGCTGCCTTTTGACTCCCGGGCAGCCCATCGGGCCTGTCTATACTTAGGACAATATTTCATGATATGGGCAGGGTCACCACAATAGATGCACTGCCCCTGCTCCATACGTTGCTGCCAGACTTTCTGATCTAGGCCCAGGTCTTCCTAGGGCCAGCCTCGCGGCCAACCTGGGTGCCAACCTCCTCTCCTTTGAGGTGATCCTCCACCTCGTCTCTACGGGGACCGAATGGGACCTTGACGATTTGGCGGGGGACCTTGACCCCTACCTCCCTCTTGGTGGTTCCTTTGGCCGCCAACCCCCTGAGCGCCTGATCCTCGGCCTCCAGTGGCCTGGCCCCTTTGGCCCTGGCCTCCTCCTCTACTTTGCGGCCTCCCTCCAACCGCGACAACTGCATACGACCTCCCTTGTCCTATGCTACTGTCCTCCTCCTCGAGGCCCCACTCAATCTGACTATAAGGGACCTCGTCAGTACCGCCTTCTTCCAACGTAAGGATCATATGATCCTTGAACCTAACCTGACCAGAGATGGTACGCCCTTTCCACTTCTTTCCCTTATCTAAATCTTTGTGCCAGAAAGTGGAAACTGACATTGAATTGGCCTAGAGCATGACCACCTCCCTACTCAACGCATCATACGTAATGTTGGGCTGTTGGGTCTTGTCAAAGAAGTGCCCTCGTAAGGGCTCTGGCATGGCACGATAAAACAACTGAACCAGTTGGGTCTCAGTGACCCCTTGGTCCGGGACGGCTACCAAGTCGTCCATGACAGCTTTGAGTGCTCTTACACTCCTCTACTGTCGTGAATGGATGGTTTGTAGCTTATCGGAGGCCCTGACGCCTCTAGTGACGACAGCAAACCTCTCTCGCAGGAGTTTGAGGAAAGTGGCGAGGGGGGTAAGCCTAGAATATGCGATCATGTTGTGCTCGCAATCTGCGGCACGTGCAAGGGACCTGGTGAAGCTGGCTGCTTCGTCTTTTAAGGCGTGGAAGGCAACGAGGACTTGTTCCTCAAGGGCTATGTGCTGTAAAAAGACATATGTGTTTATACTGGCCTCCCAGTTATCGAAATTTTCCTATTTCATCCCCGCTATATGGGTCAGGGAATTTTAACTTGACTGGCTCTTTGCGGGGACGCGCCGTGGCCTCTGTTGTGGCCACAACTTTGGCGGTCTCAATGGCGCCAGCGCAGGACTTGTCTACGCCATCCCTCAATCTTCTAATTTCGGACCCACGTCGCTCGCAAATTCTCTGAACCCGGATCGTATTGCTTGCAGGGTCACCTCTTGCCCCTTCCGGGCCTGGTGCTCCTCCAGCCAGACCTCGCTCAAGACTTCTAGGAAGCCCATCATCTTGTCTAGCTTGGCAGAGACCTCTGTTTGGGCCTGCAACTCCTGCCTGCCGGTTCGCACTCGCTCAACCTCCCCGGCTATTCTACTAGCTTCCTACCTCCTCCTCTTCTTTTCTCTCATCATCTTCAACTTCCACTCAATCTTTTTCTCACCCTCTATCGCCTGGCGTTCCAGGGGATCCTCTATCAGCTCCAGGGCCCTGGCAAACGCCTCCCTCTCCTCCTGCGGCACATATAATTGTGCCTGTTCATCTTCTCCAAAAGATAAGTTAACCACCCATTCACTAATCTTCTTCTCCCTCCATCTGTCCTCCTCCTTCGTGCCACTTACTTCCCCTCTCTCTTCTCCACGTCTTCTTTCAAGGGGCTCTTCTTCTTCTTCTTCCTCCTCCTCTGCTGCTGCTTCTTCCTCTGCAGCCCTTCTTTCCTCCTCCTCTCTCTCTAGCAACATCATCTTCTCCTTTTGAAATCTCAACATCTCCTCCTCCAATCTCTTCTTCTTCATCGCCTGCTCCTCAGTGGCCTTTAACTTCGCCTGCTTAAGGAGCTCCTTCTCTCCTCTTTCTCTCTCAAAAGGGCAGCAATCCGGGCCTGCTCGGCCTCGGAGGGGGCAGTACTCTTCCCACTACGGGTGTCAACCATGGTAATTGGTGCACAACCAGACAACGGTTCCACTCCTCACCACTTAACTCTACTCCCCCTGACTGACACACCTACTGACTCAATCTAAGGACCTACAAAATCCGGAAAGGATCCTGTCAACTAGGATCTCTAGCCTGGACCTACTCTAAGGCTGTCACCACAAGACCTGTTGCTGATCAGGAGGCATTTAAGGAGATCCCCCATAACTCCTCAGGAATTATTGAACGTCGCAGACAGGACGACGCGATCAGCAGGTTTTCTCAAGACTTAGACGGCCTGTTGTGCAGCCCACAGCTCGGATTTTGGGCCTACCGTGCCACACCGAGCAGCCCGCCGGTCAGTACCGGTCCTTGGGAGGGTTCGTGTCCTCCGGGACAGTCGAGTCGTCAGACACAGTCTTTAGCCCTACTCAGCCCGTGTGGGTTTGGTCAACAAGGCCCTATCCTTCATCCACAGAGTTCCTATCACCTGGACAAAAGAGACTCAATGCAGAAAGAAGAGACAGACATACTTGACTCAGCAAGTACCACACGGTGTGTGCACATCCATAGGGCGAGGGGATAGGCTGAAGGCTTGGCGAGATTATACCAGCTCCAGCTTGGTCAACGCCTTGGTCAATGCCTTGGTCAACGCTGGGTCAACGCTGCAGTCAACCCCCGGTCAACACCTCCGGTCAACTCCCGGTCAACGCCGGTCAACCCCGGTCAACACCTCCGATCACTATGGCGGTCGGCTTCACCTTCGTCGCCACTCTTCTCCTTCTTTTCTCCCTACCCTGCCTCCTTTCTGTTC